CATTTAAGAACACCCATTCAAGAAGACACACACATGGCAAAAACATGGGGGAACAGGTGATCAGGTCATGCGGCAACCAACAGGGGTGGAGCTACCTTTAAAAAGAAAAAATTAAATACCACAGAGGGTTAGATGAGAAAACAAAACAAAACATCATATTATATCAATGAAATAAGATACACTATGGTGTTTATAAAATAAACTCAATGAAACAAGAGCACATTTATTAGCCAGAGGAGTAAGTGAGTTTAGAGGGAATGAGTCCGAAGAATCCAGCCTCCAAAAAGAAAAACCCATAGTTCAGAATATTGGTGTTGAATTGTTCATTCTGTGCAGCTCCAGATTGATGTTTAGGGGATCAGATTAGACGGAGTGAGAGGGGGAGAGGGGGGGAGGCACCACAAGTTGACACCCTGGAGAAACTAGATCCACAGCCTTCAAGGTCTTGTGGAAGGCGGGAGAGACGAATCTGTAATCAGTTGTTTGGGAACAGAGAAAATGTTTTCGGTCAGGCAGACAATAACAATTTTCCATCTGCCTTAATGTCTGCTGGTACATCTCAAGGTGGCGAATCCAATGTGTGGACAATTCTGCTGAGCTATCAGCTTCTCCAAGATCAATTCCATCTCGCCAGCAAAGTCCAGGAACCACAGCTGCCCCGCGACCCTCAGCAGAACTGCTTGCAGACCGAGTCCAACTCGCACAAGGCAAAAGTCTGAGTGCTGAAAGCACGACAATCTTTCATATTGGTCAGGCAGCCAGGAAATGGCCTGAACAGCCACCAACATTGTTTTGTAGAACACCAGGAGACCACCAAGCCAATCTGAAGAATCCAGTGATCAGTGATACTATCCAGCTAGTTGAACAGAGTAGAACAGAGGTCCCACCTTTGACATGTCCTCCCATGGAAAAAAATTGTTCCAAAAAAATTTTTAAGAGACCAGCTAACCAAATCCATAAAAATAAATCCATAATCTTCATTTTTGGATGAAAACGTAGAGAGGCTCCGAGCAGAAAAGCAGGTAAAGATAAGGGAGGGCAGGAGAGAGGGAAAAAGTGTTCTTCTCCTCCGAGAGAAGAACAAAAAAAAAGCTTTTCACCCCCCTTCCACAACAGAAATGATTGTGATTGTTGTTAAATTTGTGGAAGTGTTTATTTGTGCTGAACACATTCAGATGCTGCATTTTTTCTTCACCTGCGCACTGCCAGAATCCCAGAAGCAGACATTTATAAAAATAGTCAAATGGCTAAAAAAATCACGCACGGAGATGAAGCAACATGTTGTGCACAGAGGAATCTGTCTGCCAAAAACTTTAATTGGGACACATTTGTGGGCACATAACGGCAGGTATCGGAGTGTTTTTTAGAGCGTAGATGCCAGCAGGATAAACCTCTGTACAGTGGCGTATACCACAGTGGGAGGGGTTTCCCAGGAGCTCAGTACCGTGTGTCTCAGGAGCCATGAAAGGTGTGTGTGAAAATGAACATCGAACTACATGACAGTGTGTCAACTGTTCGGCTTCAAATCGAGTTTGTAGAGGCCTTGAAATGTTCAATTCTGAACTTGAAAAAGACATTTAAATAGTTGTGTGAGACGTCTGCTGCCTTTAACTCATTACTAAATGTTGTTTGTCTAAAAAAAGATTGTCATTCTGACAGGTTTAAAACTTTCTATCAACAAATCAATCCAGATAAGCCAGTACAGTGCAAATTGTTGGTAGTAATCCATAATATAATAGTATTATATACTTACCAGCAAATACACATACATACTGCTACATACCAGGTACATCCAGTGTTTGTACCTGGCAATGTTGAACCCAACATGTTTAAGATTCTAATTTAATATGTTCAGTTTTAGTCAACAATTCAATAAAAAATAGGTCATAAGATTTACTTTGTTTGTCTGAGAAATGTTTTTTGCTTTTCCAGTGAGTGACATTTTTAAACAAGAACACTGAATGAGTTCATCTGCAGTGTTGAACAGCTTTTTTCATACATTATTAATAATCAGTGAAATGTGCACACAGGAAGTGACAAACCAGATCAGAAAGCAGTATAATCTGACACATTTAGTTTGAGAAAAGCTCCTTCCTTCTTGTATTGTTTAAATTTGTGGGGAAGAGAAGGCAGCAGTCGTCAGATGAAAGGAAATATTTTTTGCTGAATCTCATCCGCAAGCTTTTCTATCACATCTTTAGGCTGTGATGAAAACTATTTAGTAGCAGATGGTCCAGCAGCATATTAGAGTTGATCAGTCATGGATGTGTAATCTCACCCACCAAACACCAGGTGGACAGAAATGTCTTTAATCATTGATCGTTCATGCTGGACAGTCATCGCTGTTATTCAGCTCCAGAAAAAGTAATTGAAGATTGACTGTTGTTCAGCATGATTTGTCCTAATTTAACTAAAAAAGGCCGTACAAATTGTGATTTTTTTTTCCAATGTCAGGCCAAGCTTTGTCCAAGAAGACTGAAAACTGGGCCTTGCTTTTATCAACTGAAACAATCTGTCAGCATCTTTGTCACATCATCCACGTGAAACAAAATAACACTGACCAGGATATCTGAGGGGATTTATCAATAAGTATATAGCTCAAACTTTGCCCAACAATCAACAGCACAAGAGTAATAATCTGAAATGACACAGAAGAAATAATTCTGTCACTGTGATACTACAGTGTTTCCAAATAAACTAAGACAACTAAAGAAGAAAAACGCGAAGTGGAACTTTACTCACTGAGTAGAGTTAAACAACACTGATGTTGGAGCTTTGTAAAACTTCATAAAACAACAACAACCTTTTAATCCACAACAATACACACATGTCAAGCCCTTCAGATATACTGAACTCCAGAAATCCATCAAATTTACAAGAAAATCCTGAGTACTCACATAGGACCCAAACTTTCTTTAGTAATAGTTAAATATATATATAAAAGTGAAATCTGAATGGCCCGATGCAGAAAAGACCTGGCTGTCCTCACAGGTGATCCTTATTGTATTCAGTGAGTTTTAGTGCATGAAAACATGTTGCAGTAGTCCGTCCTTCCGTTTTCTGCCGCTTATCCAAGATCGGGTCGCAGGGGCAGCAGCCTAACCCCCAATTTAAATTGCTTGCATCCGTCTCTGCTCCACTGCGATCCAACCTCCGCAGCAAATATGCACCCATTTTAATCAATGAGAGTGTTGACTGGCTGCGCACGGCGGCGGAGAGCGGACGGCGATCCGTCAAAATTAGAACAGATCCGATTTTTGCCGGACGACGGAGCTGCGCCAGAGTCATTTTTTAAAGATTACGTCGCACCAGCAGGAAAAGAAATGAGCACAACATCCGTATTTTCAAAATAAGACACTATTCGGCGGACTAATTTGTTGGAATAATGTCGAAATTGGGGCTAAATTAATAAACAAACGGATATATTTCTACACAAATGCTGTCAGAATGTGTCGTTCTGTTTGGGAAGCAGATGGAAACGTGGCATGAAGCAGATGTGTACACACACGATACACGTGGATTTTATTTTGAAATCAGAAGTTTCAGAAAGCTGACAGCGAGACAGTTTCAACATAGATACCAAAAGCCTTTATATCGTTTTCAGCTGTGTTTGGAGTTCGTCTTTCACAGAATTAATTATTTTTTGCTGTGACTTCCACACATCACTGAATTTATCACTGAATTTATCGCACGATCTGCTTCCTGCATGTCTGTCAGAGCAGAGCGGAGGTAGTGTAAACTGAACTTGAAACCCACAGCTACGACCTGCGCACCGCAGCGGAGTGGAGCGGAGACGGAACGCAAGTAATGTAAATTAGGGGTAATCAGAGACCGGTACAGGCCGGTACAGCACCCACATCACTGCAGATGCAGCACCAATCCACCTGTTGATCTCCCGCTCCATACTTCCCTCTTTTGTAAACAAGACCTTGAGATACTTAAACTCCTCCACTTTGGGCAGGACCTCCTACTCGACCAGGAGAAGGCACCCTACCAGTTTCCGGCTCAAGACCATGGTCTCGGATTTGGAGGCACTGATCCTCATCCCAGCCGCTTTACATTCGGCTGCGAACCGCTCCAGTAAGAGCTGGAGATCAGGATCTGATGAAGCCAATTGGACCACATCATCCGCAAAAAGCAGAGATGTGATCCTAAGGTCACCAAAACGGATTCCCTCAACACCTTGGTTGCGACTAGAAATTCTGTCCATAAAAGTTATGAACAGAATCGGTGACAAAGGGCAACCTTGGCAGAGTCCAACTCTCACCAGAAACGAGTCCGACTTACTACCAATGTGGACCGAGCTCTGGCACCGGTTGTACAGAGACCTAACAGCCCGTATCAATGGGCCTGGTACCCCATTCTCCCAGAGTACCCCCCACAGGAGTCCCCGAGGGACACGGTCGAACGCCTTCTCCAAGTCCACAAAACACATGTAGACTGGTTGGGCGAACTCCCATGCATCCTCCAGGACCCTGCTGAGGGTGTAGAGCTGGTCCGCTGTTCTTCCTGAATCCGAGATGCGACCATCCGACGGACCCTGCTCTCCAGAACCCCCGAATAGACCTTACCAGGGAGGCTCAGGAGTGTGATCCTCCTATAGTTGGAACACACTCTGCGGCCCCCTTTTTTAAATAGGGGGACCACCACCCTGGTCTGCCGATCCAGGGGAACTGCTCCTGATGTCCACTCGATATTGTCACAACCTCACAACATCAAGAGCCTTAAGGAACTCCAGGCAAATCTCCTCCACCCCCGGCACCTTGCCACCAAGGAGCTTTTTAACCACCTCGGTGACCTCGGCACCAGAGATTGGAGAGTCCGACCCAGGGTCCTCAGGCTCTGCTTCCTCATGGGAAGACATGTCGGTAGGATTGAGGAGGTCTTCAAAGTATTCTGCCCACCGACCCACAACGTCCCATCCATGTTGCAGTATTACCTGAGATTTATGAGGGATAAATATCAGACATCTGGTTCTTTGTTTACACCACGCGTTAGTGTGAATTTACCATTATCTGTCGACAATGTTTCAAACAAAACTGTTAGGAGTAAAGGTATAAAATTGAAGACAAGCTTCTTTTTTATTTGTAAGTCTTTGTATGTTTGTACTCATGAAAAATGGGAGAAACATCTGTATAATATCCAGACAATCCATGAGGGATTACATATTTGAAAAGAGCTTGTTAAAAATGTTTAAATTAATCTTTTTTACTAGTAAACAGGAAGCTAGGCAAATAGCGAGACGATCAAAAGCTGGAGTTCCTTAGATGAACATTTGTCCATACATTTCATTTTTTCCTTTCCTGGTGTTTACCAGCAGTCACTGTGAGAGGCGGGGGACACACTGGACATGTCTCTAAGTCCATCACAGGGACACATAGAGACAAACATTCACACTTATACAGACATTTAAAAGTTAGCATTCAAAGAAATATGCATGAATTTGGTTTGTGGGAGGAAACCAGAGAAATCATACATATGCAGAGGGAGGACATATGACATGATTTTGTACAGTTCTTTTGTTTTTTTCAGTGATTTTTGGTCAACCCAGATGTGTCTGACCTACACTGCGCCAGCCAACGGCTTTGTGATAGATCCCATATTTGAGCAGGGTTCTCCATCTAAAGAGGGGGTGTCTGGATAAAACAAATGCTTATAGCTCAAAAACTATTCAACATAGGAGCTTCAAATTATTTTGTTGTTGTATGGTGCACGTTGGTGCTTGGGTGAGACAGATGTGCTTTTTTTGTGCACCATGCAGAAAACCAGTGCAGATGATGAAAGTTTGGCATTTATTGGCCAAGGTTTTAGATTTAAATGTTTAGTATCTGCAACTCGATCCTTTGTTTCAAGTTTATTGATTAAAATGAACAAAACCACTGGTTTGTGATCGTGTGATTGTGAACATACAGTGTTAATAAAAAGTCGTTCACACTGGAAGCTACATTGGCAAAGTTCAGTTAGCAGATCTGCTGGATGAGTAAAAACACTTCACACTTAAAAGGTCTGATTTTTTTCAGCACTAAGATAAAGAGCAAGTTAAAGCTGAAGTTCTTTGCATTTTGCTGATTTTCCAAAGTGTTGTGAAAGATTTTGGTGAAATCTGTTGAATTCTGTCAGCATGCAGGATGTTTTATTAAAACAATTAAAGCCACTGATAGTGGAGACTGGAAACTTCCACCAGATTATGATGAAATGTGAGGAAACTCTGTTAAAGAGCGGTCTGTAGAATCAGTACAGCTGCAGTGTATTAGAAAAGGTGTGTGTGTATGTGGATGTATGTGTGTGTAGCCTTGTTTTTCCTACAATGTGGGGCCCAGTTTTAAGGAAAATGCAGCCTCGTGGGGACTGGGAGCTCCTTGTGGGGCCCAAAACCCCGACCCTACAACTCTGGAGGCTGATTTTGGGTGTGGGGGTTGGGTTTAGGACCAAGGTGTCAATTGAGTTTAGGTTAGTTTTAGGGTCAGGTAGGTAGGTACCTATGAGGTTAATTTTAGGGTAAATGGTCAGGATTAGGATATAAAATTACCTAAAAATGAATGGAAGTCAATGGATGGGCCCCACAAGGATATAAAAACAAGTTTGTGTGTGTGTGTGTGTGTGTGTGTGTGTGNGTGTGTGTGTGTGTGTGTGTGTGTGTGTGTGTGTGTGCGTGTGTGTCACAGACAAAGATATAGAAGTGAGGGATGCATTATGCATTCATATTAAAAACTGTTGAATTCTAATGAGCATGTGCACTTTGCCGGAGACAAGCAGTTAAGTAAATACTGCTTCAAAGCGCACTGCAGTGCCATTAGCAAATATACAAGCTTTATGGATAAAGAAGAGCATGGTCTCCCACGTGTGTGTGTGTGTGTGTGTGTGTGTGTGTGTGTGTGTGTGTGTGTGTGTGTGTGTGATTCCTATTCAGCTGGAAAAGGCAGTATCCAGTCAGAAGTTGAGTAACAAGCTTGTTTGTCAAACTCCCGCTGAAGCGGATCACTGAGGTGGTCTCCTCCTACTCACCTGTCTGCTCTGTCCTGCAGGTACATCAGTGATGCAGGTGACAGCTACAGATGCTGATGACCCCACCTATGGCAACAGTGCCAGGCTGGTGTACAGCATACTGCAAGGACAACCATACTTTTCTGTGGAGCCTCAGACAGGTAAGACTCCCACTACAGGTTAGTCCAGTTAGATTTATTTGAAGTGACAAACCTGAAATTCCAAAGTAACTTTGAAATAATCTTAGCTCAGAAAAAGAAACGCTGCCATGTTGGTATTTAAACTGTAGAAGAAGCGTAAAAAAAAGATGGGAAAAATGTGCTTTGTCATTATGGTTACAATGATTTCCAAGTTTAATTTGAGAAACAGAGTGAAATAAGAAAGCTGAAACCAACAGATTGTACACATTCCTCACTGCTGGTGTTGTGTGTAAATGTTTATGTCGCTACAAGATAAAAAAGACCCTACACTTCCAGCTTTGAAGAGTTTTGAACTAAAATGTAATCAAAGTTTATGGGCTGTTCACTTTCTGCCCTCTGGGGGGACAGGTTGGGGGGCCTGTAAATCCTATAGCAGTGAGAGAAAAACTGAGTGAATAAGAACAATAATGTCTACATTTACATAAACTCTGTTCCAAAGAATGAAAATTTGTGTTTATATATATGAAAAAGGAAAAAGGAAAGGAAAAAATGACCCATCTATATTTACTATAAAACTTTGTAAACATATCAGATGTTGATACAAAGAAATTGACCAGTTTTTAGAAATAAAAAGATAATTTAGAATTTAATGGCAGCAACATGTTTCCCTCTCTGAAGCATCCCCTCTTCTGTAAACATCCAGGACCTGAGGAGACCAGTTGTTCGAGGTTTTGTCTCCCTCTTGTCTGATGAGTATCTTAAATGCTCATCAGTCCTGGATATGTTTTCATTAGATAGAGTTTATTAGATGCTTGAAGTGTTTTCAGTTGGTAAGAAGTCTGGGCTGCTTCTATCATGAAGCCACATTTTCCAGAGCCTCTCAGGAAGTAATCACAAATGAACAACCACAACATGTACAACTCTTGGACTGTTGGAGCAAACACCGCAGCTAACCGACCTTAGCAAACACAAAGTGGCTTTACTTAGTCCTCTACTACTAATACTGAGCTGTAGGTGCTACCTGAGTCATCTGAGTCTTTAACAAGGTTTGACCAAAACAACTCTAGCTCCGTTCTTTTTCCTTGTAAGATGATTTTAGTTTAACACTCAGCCATGCCAGGCGGGGTAAACTGGTAAAGTGAAGAAAGCACAGCTGTAAGAGGAAGACCCAGAGAACATTCAGCCTGGTCCCTGCAGAGCACAGGCTTAATATTTGAGTTTGAATTAAAAGCAGAAATTGGATAAAGGCAGGGAGGTTAGGGTAGAAACAGAGCTGCGTTCGGTCAGTGCGAATAGGAAAGAACTGCGAGGGAGAGGTTAGGAAAGGAAACAGGAGGAAAATTGGTTTAGAGAGAGTGAGTTCATGGAAACTGAGTGGTTAGGGCAGAGGGAGTCAGAGAGATTTGTGCAGAGTAAATCTGGCTAATCAAACCAGCGTTGGGTATTTGACTGGCTCAGATCCAGAGCTCACATTTCTAATTGGTTTGGAGATTATCAGCTTTTCATGCTGTCACACACTTCACATAATATGACACCGGAGAGCCTCAGTGACACTGTGAGATGGTGGAGAGATGGACAGAATGGTGACAGAGAGCTAAAAAATATTAAAGAGAAATGATTTTCACCACTCTTCTTGTTTACTTTGGATATGATTGATAAAATGTTTTGATTTTAAACAAAAAATGCTGTAGTTAGAAATATTCTGATCGTTTATCAGGTGATGACATGAAGTTACAGTGGTAAATACATGGTTTATTTACTTTCCAACAAGGTTTTTTCACAGATAAGCTGCCATGAACTCACTGATGGACAAAACAGTGATTAAACCAGTTCTTATTTTTCCACTTAGTGCTTAAAGGTAGTCATGTATGAAAATTACAATCCCTGATAGGCAAGAGTTGGCTGATCCTACTGATTGACTCATTTATCAGTTGGACACTATAACAAATGATGTCCCACATTACCTGGTCCCTTCTCTTTTCTTTATTCACACACTTTCTATTGACCAGGTTATCTAAGGTCTAAGGGTGACTAATGTGACAATCAGCTTTAAGCTGTATTCCAAATCTTAAATCTTGTCTTTGGAAGATAGATCTTGTGTTTTTCCAGTTCTGTTTAATTAAAATGATGGAGGTCATTCTGAGACCAGTCCTCTGCTTCCAGTCTTGGTTTTATAATAACATTAGTCATTCAGGCCTTTCAGAATCTCCTCATATTCTAAAGCTAAAAATAATCATTTGAACATCAGTTCTGAAATAACATGTCTGCTTTTTCAGGTATAATTCGTACGGCTTTGCCAAACATGGATCGTGAAGCGCGTCAGGATTATGAAGTCGTCATCCAGGCCAAAGACATGGGTGGTCACATGGGGGGGCTGTCGGGGACCACGGAGGTTAAAATCACACTCACAGACGTCAACGACAACCCTCCAAAGTTTCCTCAGAGTAAGTAAAGACTGGATTTATTAATTATGCTGTAACTATTAACACAATAACAATAACACAATGTGTTATTATTGTATTAACGCAATCAGACAATGTGATTTTCTAGATATGTTTTCTCATTTTGTTTCTCATAGCTGCGGTCTAACTTTGATGTAAGTTACAGTCCTCTCTCATCTTTTTAAGTGGGAAAACTTGAACTAAACTAAATCCTGACTACCCCACCCCGTACATACTATGTACTATACACAAATATTAAACCAACATACAGTGCAGTAACATAACATACTGTATTTCATCTTCGAATGCATGTTTAACTACTCTTGGTTGATAAATATGAATGCACAAAGTTCAAACAAAAAACAAAACACTTGAGTTCAGACTCCTGCTGGTTCTGGTAAAAAGTCTCTGTATGTTCTTGTGACTTCAGTAAACTTCTCGTATTTAGCTTTGTGCAACATGTTGTAGTGGAGACTTTTATTAAAAGCCTCCATGCATACATGTCAACCCCTTCAGCTGTTTATAATGAGCCTCAAAAATCCTCAATTATTGCAAAAAATCCATATTAATCACACGTGGGGGGTGCATGCAGACTGTCAGCCACAGAGGGGAGGGGGCAGAGTGCAGGTGGACTGCCAGCTGCAGCAATATCAGAAGGAAACGAGGAAGGAAGAACTTATTTCTAGCGGCAGAGTGGGTTGGAAGTGGAATTGATTTTTAACGTCCTACAGGCATATGTTAAATAAATTTGAAACTGAGTTTTTGAAAAAATCCGTAAAACATAAAAAAAATCAGTGAGATTGATCGGTACGTCCATATAAAATGATGTAAAATGATGTAAAGTCTGTGTAAGTTACGGACGATCCATACAACTTGACATGTATGTTCATAGCAGACAGCGTCTCTAAACAGACTAAACACAGGTTTGTCCTGAAACTCTGTGAACAGATAGTCAGTCTACCTCCTGTTTCACCTGAAACATGACTTTATCTGTCCAGTTTTCCTTCCTCCATTCTCAGCCGAGGCTGAACGTCTCTTCCTCACTGGTAAAGATGTGTGTGAGATGTGTCATCTGCATTGGAGATGCCATTTAATGACAGACGTTGTGATTACAAGCAATTCTGTGCCACTGAGACACTTTTATGCATTTTTTTGAATTTTCAAAAATTAGTCTAAGAGCTGCCTTGTGCGTTTTGTTAAGTAAAAAAGAAAAAGGA